CGTGATTGTTTCGCATTGCAATCCTCTTTCGGTTTCGGGTGAGACTATTTAAAAAACCCATAGCAGCCAACTTTGTCTGATAAATAGGAGGAATGAGTGTATGCAACTGAATAGAAACTATTTGTGGCTGTTGGATAGGCTTAAGGAGGGAGAAAGAGGAAGTACGGGAATAACCACTGAACAAGAGGAGGCTGGATGGGCCTCGAGTCTAGCTGGAACTATCACACCTCCCAGGACATAAATATTACATACAAACAATAGACAATAGCACAGGTCCGAAGATGATTCAAAATGAGAGGATCGTACACTAGTTCATTTATTCAAGGAAATAGTTGCCATAAAACGCACCTCCGGTTCGGGAAGTAACTTCACCCACTTGCAAGCATGTAGAGTAAGTTGGAGGTAGCCAAACAAATCATGGAATGCCTGATTAAGGTCGCGAAGTTAGGCATATGAAAAGTTACTAGGTTAGCAGCCGGCCACCTTTTCTCTTTGTTTAATACATTTTTGCTCTATTTCGTGAAGTATGGATTCCTGGTTTGATGATATTTGTCACAGTTCAGACGAAAGCTTAGCACAGGTTGGTCGGGGTCGCAGTGAGATGAGCCAAGGACTTCGCACAATTCAACAGTCTTTCTTACGTTGAAATCCTCCTTTTGTGAGGCCATTTCACAAATTTCTTCCAAACAACTTTTCCTTCTAAATGGAAATTCATGTCACAAATTGAAATAATCACCCAGACCGCGGTTTCAACCTCGCCTAGATGTACAATGAACACTCAATAAAATTCGAGTCTTGGTAGTTCGTTTAAACCTGAAAAATGATACCACTCGGCTGTACAATTGGAGTGACACAACCTTAGAGGGTGCAAGTAGCTCGTGAGGCAAACATTCATTTTTTACAAAAATAGACGCTGCTACTCAAAATATGATAAGTAGTGAGTTATAATTCGCATCGACATGGCAGGGTCCAATATTTGGGCTGTCCGATGGAAACTAAGAAGAAAACTCAACAGACTGGCCTTTTGTATTACTCTCTAGAGGACTTTCCGTTCTAGGATATGGGCATGTGCACATGAGTTAGTCTGACTTGCTGTGGCAGCCAAATGCACTGGGACCAGAATGAACGCATGAAAGACGCGAAGGTGTATAACAGAAACGCAATTTAAGAAAAACTAATTGTCCCCATTGAGAACGCTTTCGATTTAACCCCACAAGAAAGAAAGATTAGTCTTTATAAATATTCGTTTTGAATGGGTCTCAAAACTACCAGTAGATCTTGCATATGGTGTTGAAGGTCGAATTTGTTCACAATCATATGAATAGGAATCGCGTTTTTCACTTAATTTCACATAGCCTTGTTTGAATGAGGAAAACTCTTTAGGAAGGAAGGCTATGTGAAATGTAATGGAACCATGAGACCTATACATATTATTGGAGAAAAATGCAATTATCGGACCCTCTTCAACTTTAGGCGACCTAGAGTGAATATAGGTCTTGATCTTCGTGGAGTTTATTCTAGTGACCAGATAAGCTTAGCCTTAATATAGTTTGAAGAACTCAGATGAAGCAACCTGTTGGCAAACCTGTGCGAAAGCTAAAAAATATAGTGCCCTTGTTCCAATTGGTAGTTGTTCGGCTCGGTGAATCAGTACCATGCTCTCGCAAATCATGTGAAAGTCGTCTTCGAAGCGAAGACTTTCCGAGGAAAAGGGTGGATAATAGGGGCATATAAACTGAATACCATCTTTGTCCGGCTTCTGAATGGGCCCGCCAACCAGTTCTTTCATCGTGCAATTTTAAATCAAAATCGGATTACTTTTGAAACAAGTGACCCTGGAGGATACAAATAAATATGCAAAAAATATAATTTATGGGCCTGATAGGGGGCTACGAAGGTCAACCTCATCAAGGGACGACGGCGGATTACTTTCGGCCAACTATTGATTAGTCTCCTTGGAATATTGTAGAAGACGCTGTCCAAATCACTTTGCACTTCATGCAGGAATAAACCGGTGAATTTTCTTGGGTAGTCGGATTGAATTAGTCGTAAGAATGATAACTGCTCTGATGGAGTCCGTCATATGACAGA